TTGAGAAGAATTTTCATCAACTTTTCCACAATGCTGACCAGTCTTAATAACTTACAACTGTTCATAAGTCTCCTTCATACTCATTTCCGACCAAATCTGCTCCATATTATCCATTACATGATTGATTTTTCCCTCCATTATATGAAGCTCCGGTAAAATAAGCCTATCTAAAAGAAATTCAGAGGGGTTTCCATGTACTAATACAGTGTTTATACAATTCTTAAAATGTTGTGCACACTTAGGTTTTGAACCAGATTCTTTAAAATTTGTATAGTTGTCTTGACAGCTCTCAAAGTAGCATTTTCCAAGTTTCTCTTCTATACCACTCACACACAAAACAGGAATGAATTGAACTGCTACTTGGAGATATACCTATCAGAATTTGACTAAGTTTTATGTCGCATACTCCTATATGCTCAACTTTTTCAAGATTTAGTTTTTCAAATAATATTTAAAAGTTAAAATATCTTTTTGGGATCTCTGGAGCTACTAGAAGAAGAAATAAAGCATTTACTGACGAATCCTTGAACTTCTTTATTAGATCATCTTTATATGAACCCCTGCAAGCTGTTATGGGTTTTTTTTTAAGGTAATTTTTGTCAAATTTGCCGTAATTTTCAAAATTTTCATTGAGATTGATAATTAAACTAAGTTTGATAAAACCACTTCCCCCGTCAGCAGCAATTTTAAACACTGATTCTTAAAATCAACACATAAGGTCCAGAAGTAGTTTAACAAAAAGAGTAACATCATTGCCGTACGCGACTGTATTATTTTTATATTCTAAAGTTTTATCTTTGTTTTTAAATTCATATAAAATATTTTCTTTAGTAAATAATGGGAGAAGATAACTATCCAAATCAGAGACACAGACTTTCAATCCAGGTTTTACAGCGTTTCTTCTTTTTTCAACAACTCTGTAGTTATTAATTTTTTTTAATTATTAATTTTGCTACCAATATTGTAACATTTTATTGTGCAGAATTTATATTAGTATTATGATTTTACCTTATCATATTAGCAAGTTTTATCATTTTATAATTACTTAAGGAAAAAGAATTCCGAATACAAAGAAAATTATTGTGAGTAAAATTTGGTATTTTCGGAGTATTCTCAGATCCTATAGATTTTTTTTAGTTTATTACCTCCTGTCTTCAATGAAATGGTGTTTTCATCAGTACTTTTATGTTTCAATCAGTACTTTTATGTTTTTTTGTTATCTGCTGATAATCAATGTCTTCTTCAGTTTCTGTTATTTAAAACTTTTGCAATCCTCATAACAATCTGTAAAAGGAATAACAAAACATCTTATCCAAAGCAATGACAAATAAATTTAAAAAGTAGATTATTTAACATTTTGTGAATAAAACTTATAATATCGCAAATTAAAATAACAACTCAATAAAATATCAAGCTCTTGGTTCTTCTAACCAAACAGCATAGCGGTATGACATTTTGCTGAAACGTTAACACTAATTTAGTTGAAGGTACATCAACACACAACATTAACTTGTAACTAAACTTGTTAAAAGTGTTTCAAATAAGTTTAGTCGTTTAGTTTTTTAGCTTTTTTTGCTGACTTTAGTTTCCTAATTCCGATGGATGATATACATATACATACTATTTAATTCAACCCGTATAGTTTCAGACTCGGTAGGTCTTTCGTAACATGATAAAATAAATAAATAATAATGCAGTAAATTTCAATAGCTTTTAGAGCATAAGATAAAAACAGAACAACTTGAACTCTCTTTTAACTAATTTAAACTTTAAAGATTCGAACCAATCATCAACATACCTTTCAAATAAAACAGGAATTACCTTTAATCTTATATTATTTTTAAAGCGTTGAACTTTTATAAATAGCTTTTCTAAAACCTTAGCAATTAGATTATGATTTAAAAGGTAAATATCTGACAGATGTTCAACTATTAGAATCATATCTAAAAGTACAGAGTTTGCAGTTTATCTTGTGATTACTAAAAAACTAACTATTAGTTTTAAAAATCATTGCAACTTTTATTTACAGAATGATCTTTATAGAAATAGTCATTAACTCAATTATTATTTTAGGAAAATCTAAATTTTAAAGGAGTAAAAACTTCACAAAAAATCAATTTACCATTTGCATTTGTACTTGGCTGTTTCCTGCTGCTTTAATTGTTGTTGCAACTGACTGGACTGTATATAAAATATTAAATGAAACTAAACACACAAAACTTAATTAACAATAAAAAATATTTTTTTGCGGATTTTAGAATTTTATTTTTTATTATATAATATAGCTATGTATATTATTGTTCAAACCATGTTAACTTTTCTACTAAAGAGAAAATAAATGATACAATATAATAATCTATCATATTAGAGGTAAGTAAGTTTATTTTCTCTTTAGTGGTTATCGTATAGGAGTATGAATAATACCTAAATTTTTAAAAATATTTTTCAGCTTACACTAAAACTGAAGATCCATTAAATAAACATTTGAACCTCACAATTTTTGATTGGCACTGACTGTACTAAAAGTATAAATATTATAACATTGATATTCAATCAATATAACACTTATCATAAACAAATAGATGTTAAAATAGATCTTAATATAAACAAACAAGTAGAAAAATTAGAAAAATTAGGAAGCTTAGTCTTAGCTTCCTAATTTCTTTACTTTTACTAACTTTTAGCCTAAGAGTTAACTATAGACGTTATATAGCGTTGTTAAAAACCAAACAGAAAAAACAATTAAGAAAAAGTTTTAAAAAAATGCTGAAACTGCTACTATTTTAAAATTACTGCTACTTTTTTGAAACTGCTATTTTTGTTGCAATAATTAAAAAAAAGAATTATCAAAATACATTGTTACTGTACTTAAAATTAGTTTTAATCGCTTATAAAATATTATCGAAGAACTTACAGGACTTTTCAGCTGCTTCATAAGCCACAATAGAATACTAAAAACAAATTTCTTTTTTCTTTTCTAAACCATTTATTGCATAATTTAGGATTCATAAGAAATTCTAATTTTTAATTATAATGAAAGATTAAAATGTCCAACACATTCTGTGCAAAACTAATTTAGTTAAGTTAGCTCCTTACGGAAATTATTTGATTAACTTTTTCAACGCAAATTAAATATTCAGAACACGTTTAGAATAGATTCCTAAACGTTTTGATCGACGTAAATGGCATCTAAACGTAATCTAAACCAATTTTAAACCAACAAATGCCCGTTGGGAATGGTGCCAATATGTTTGGAAAACACAATTGCGTCTATGCTCTTGTCCATCTCTATATGAGTCAGCAAGATCTTGTTGGTGTCTATGCTGCTGATGTTTCTACACTCATGATTACGTTTTTAGGAAAAATTTCCATCTTTAAATTTTCAAGCTCTACATCGAGATGGGAAAAAAATTAAAAACATTGAGCACTTTGTTAAAAGGAAACATTGACGCAAGAGTGTCTACCAAAAAAGAAGGAAAAACGCCATTGCACAGACGAATCAAAGAAGTTCTTCAAGTTTTCAATCCTATTATCCGCAATATTATGACAAATGCTGCTACAGTTTGCAGTGCAAAAGATCTTATTATTCAAACTGATTTCAGTATTTTGTCTTTATTGTATTTCTGGTGTCAAATTTCTTCTTTAGTTGACCGGAAAACAAACTGATTCATTATAAAAACATTTTAAATAATATTGCAGCAAAAATGAAAAGAGTGAAGCAATCAGAATTTAAGAGATGTTCAGGTTGGCAATATTATAAAAGATGCCTCAGAAACAGAAGCTAAAGAGAATGGAATGAAAATAATGCTAAAATGGTTCCCGACAGTCTTGGATTAGACCTAAGAAAGAAAATTATTGGCGAATACGTAAGCGGAATGTCACAAAAAAGTATTTGTGATAAATATTGCGTGAAAAAATGGACCGTACCAAGACTATGTTCCAAATATCGTTCTACTGGGAAGTTGGGAGTAGATAACAAAGGTAAAAGACCGCGTTCCACCACTTCTAGAGAGGATTCTATGATCGTCAGATCCGTTAAGAAGGATCCTTGAATATCATCAGTCGAGATGCAAAAGCAATTAGAGCTGCCTGTTTCGGACCGAACAATCAGACGACGTGCTGTTGAAGCCGGATTGTTTTCCGAGGCCCTGCAAAGAAACCGCTGATTTCACTAAAGAACCAAAAAAAAAGACTCCAGTTAGGTACTTCTTATATTGACTGGAATGTGCAGAAATGACGAACTGTCCTGTTCAGTGATGAATCGAAGTTCAACATCATTGGGAGCGATGGCATTTGCCTTGTACGTTGACTGACCGTTAAACGCCTCGATTTACGTTACTGCTATAAGACCGTGAAGCATGGTAAAGGCAATGTAGTGGTCTGAGGGTATTTTTCTGCTAACGGTCTTGGTCCAATACATCGAACTGATGGAATAACGGATCGTTTCATAGTTATTTCTCTAAATTGAAAAAATGCAACACCGATGCTGCATATATATATATATATATATATATATATATATATATATATATATATATATATATATATATATATATATATATATATATGTATATACATATATATATATATTTATATACATATATATATATATATATATATATATATATATATATATATATATATATATATATATATATATATATATATATATATATATATATACATATATATATATATATATATATATATATATATATATATATATATATATATATATATATATATATATATATATTTATATACATACATATATATATATATACATATATATATATATATATATATATACACACACACAATTTAAATGTATTCTACAAAGTAAAGTGCTCAATGTTATTCAAAGAACAGATCAATAATAAATTAGTAGAAAATCACTTATCAATTTTTTATTTATTTGACATGGTGTTTTATTATTAAAGACTCATTAGAAATCTGTTGAACTTTTATTTATATAAATTTATTTAAGCAAAAGTTGTTATCTAGAATGGTTCAAGATGATAAAAAATTATATTAGAAATTTTTAAAACAAGATGTCAATGTTTTACTTTTTTCATTTTAGATGTTTATTACACCAGGTTCATGTAAATCTTTACCAGGTAAGTTTTTTTTTTCCTCCTATTTTAGCTAATCTATAAACTTTTATCGGTCAAATATATTTTATAATTTTTATTATTAAAGAATTTTTCACGAGATGCAATATTCAATTAAACTTTTGTTTTCATGATCTCATAATAGTTTCGGCTCTAGCCCATTTTGCGACATTGGTAAGGAAGGAGGCGTGAACTTCCTAGTTAAATTCTCTCCCACTGTGTTCTGTGATAAGACTTCCGGGAGAACCTTAAAAAAAAAACGACAAAAATGTATGTATATAATTGAAAATTATTAAGATAAAAGTTTAAGGCATAACTTCATGAACTTTTTTTAAATTATAAAAATAAATTTGCTGAATACATGTTTATTTATTGTTTGATTTATTTTAATCACTGATGATGACGTTTTAAAGATGAACACACATGTTGAATATTGCTAATTTAAGTTTTGATTTTTTTTGTAGTGCTTTTTTTAAGTAAAATAATCATATCCATCAATTGTTTTTTTACTTTATTTAACTTTATTAATTTTTTTTTTTAATTTTGCTTTGTTATTAATTTAATGTTAAATAGTCAAGCAACGTTCAAAAAAATATTTTTGTTTGAATATAAAAATACAACCATAATATTTGGCTCCATGAACAAAAAATTTGTTGTTTAAAAAACTAAATTCTTATCGTAATAATCTGCAGCAGTATTGAGACCTTGCGATAAGCTATCGACTGGATAAAAGTAAAACGGCAAATTTTTACGCCAGTGATAAAATAAACTCATATTATATATATGTCTCCGTTTAAGTAACGGCAAGAAAAATTTATTATCGGATGGTTGTTAACGCCAAAATCTAACCCTGCTCTACCCTTCTGTTAAAACTGTTATAGGAGGAGTTTTCTATTAATTTAGGAAAAATATAAAAAGGTTTCCAATCAAAACAAGCGTAAACAAACAAGTTTACTAGTTTAACAATTAAGCTATAATATATACTAAATAAAATTTACATGGTTTATTCCCAAATAAATGTTATTATGAAATGAAATGTATTTTGCATTTAATTAAAATATATATATATATATATATATATATATATATATATATATATATATATATATATATATATATATATATATATATATTATATATATATATATATATTTATATGTGTATATATGTATATATAAAGTATGTATATATATATATATATATATATATATATATATATATATATATATATATATATATATATATATATATATATATATATATATATATATATATTATATATATATATATATATATTAT